TTTGACTTCGAAATGTGCTTCGCGCCACAACGGCGTGCACTTTTTGGACATCTCAACTTCCAAAAGTGGTCCGAACCCGTGTGTTTTTAACATTTTGACTTCGAAATGTGCTTCGCGCCACACCGGCGTGCACTTTGTTCGACATCGCAACTTCCAAAAGTGTTCCGATCATGGTCTGCTTTGTCCATTTTGACTTCGAAAATATGTTTCGCGCCACACCGGGGTGCAATTTTTCATCTCTCATGCCAGCTGGCTCCGCACCCGCCTTTAGCGAGCCTACTTTTGGAACCTCCAAACCTTTTTTTTTCCCTCTGTTGCGGCCGATCTCGCTCTAAGGCGCGGTCCTGACAGTGAGAGAAGCGCGGTAGAAAAGTGACAGAAAGAAACATGGCAACAGCGACGACACGCAAATCTCTCGGCCAGATTTGCGTTTCGCCAGCAGAGAAAACAGCGAAACAACACAAAACGGGGCCGGAGCCACACCAAAAAACAAAAACCACAAATCCGTGGATTGCCTCCGACACGAGAGTAACCCCACCGTGTCTCCGAAATATGCACAAACGAATTAACAGTCTATGGCCCAAACAAATTAATAGGGGGTGAGAAGCTAAGCAACTGTGAAAAGCAGCAACAAGATTGCTAAAAGCTACTGTACACAACGGTAGCCACCTCAGAATCCTCTCAGGCATGCTTTGTCTATTTTTTTTCCGTCCAACGCCTCTTGGCTTCCGCCAGGTCGTTCAACACGTTCGATTGCATGTTGCAACAAGCGAATGGACTAATTCCTGCAATGACGTGGGCAGTTCAATGACAGTCTCAACAGTTGAACTGGCGAGGACCGATACATAGTCCAATGAGCCGTCACAATCCCAAAACCACACAAGAAAACAGGGAAAACACCAACACAAAACAACCAGGGAAACAAAAGCAAACAACAAACCAAAAAACACCAGCAAGGAGGGAGAGTGATCGGCCGGCCAGTTCAGCAGCGTCAAATAGAAGAGAGATGATAACATTGTATCAACTCAAATTGGGTATGGCGGAGAAACAGAAAACAAAGAGACCAAACCAACATCACACACATCGCCACACCAAAGAAGTGAGTAAAGCAACACAGCACTATGCGGAAACCAGGGCTCCCCCCAGCCAGGAGCCCCGAGATCACATAGAGCAAGCCGTTCAGGCATGACAACTCACATGATGCACTTAAATTACCAGCAACGACAATGCCATGTGGTAACAGAAGTGGTGAAACAAGGTGAAACATAAGGTGAAAAGAGACCTAATGTGAGAAGCGATGTTAAGCATCAGGGGTTTCTAGGCACTCTCAGAGTCCGCTCAGTAGTTCTTTTCCAATCATCATCGGACGTGGGTAGATCCCTGGTCGTAGAAGTCAATCACGGTCTTGGAAAGCGTGGTACTTATCATCAGTTCGCGGAGAAATCTGTGCGTCCAATTCTCCGCATGATGTGCTTGCGCCTTGAGCCGTGCGTGGCATAAGTAGCAATGCTTTCTGTGCCTGGCTGACTTCGTAACTGGCAGAAATTGTGCAACCATCCAAAACACAACTCAATTGACGTAGTTGGCGTATGGCGGCTTCAAGGTCAGTTGTTCTTTGACTTGGCACAAAGTCAATTGAGTAATTGAAGCCGCTAAACGGCTAACAGCATCGTCTGCCATTGCGGGCTAGCACGCAGGACAGGGGGTTTCCTGAGTGTGTAAAAGAGGCTGCATTGTCCCGGTCTTGAGGGCGGTGTCGTCCTGTTGGAGCTTCAGGACGCCATGGCTAGGATGTACTTCATCATCTACTCTAGCTACCAATGAGAGTTGCTAGTTAGTTCAAACAAATCAACTCCAATTAACTCCCTCCCCCCTTTCCATCATTCAACCCCTAACCCACAGTGCAGAAGGTACCGCAACCTTCGAAACCCTTGGGTCAGCGTGCAGGACGTCGTCCTTAACTCACTAGAACCGTCCACGCTACCAAGTCAACCACTCCCAGAGCTCAGCCACTTTTACCCACAAGCAACAGAAACATGTCTGCTCATGTCGCTATAGTTCTTGTTGGTGTGTCACGCCTTGACACAAAATGATGCGGAGTCGCTAGTCAGCATCTTTCTGCTAACTTTCACAAAAGCGATCAAAAACACATGTCCTCACAAAAAGTCTTTACATCAAGACATGGTTTGTTTGTTTAAATAAGTTTGAGTGTTTGAAAAACGTTGAAACATTTCAAGCACCAAAACATGACTCATGATGTCTCCCTCAGATCTGTTAGCAACTCCAGTTCTGAATGCCTTTCAGAACGTTGCTCTCGCTATCATCATTGAGAGACAAAACACACTACTCTTCTCCAATCAATGTCAAACAAAGTTCCTTCTTCCGAAGTCACAAAAATGAATTCTACGATC